GATCTACTCGAAGATCTGAAGTCGACACTTTGGTACTGTTCTTTGGACATGGCAAGCGGATTTTGGGTAGTGATGACAGATCGTGCCCGCTTGATCTCGGCTTTCATAACTCTCTTTGGGTTATTTGAGTGGAATCGAATGTCTTTCGGCCTGAAGAATGCGCCTCAGATCTATCAACGTATGATCGACAACGCGTTATATGGATTCACCCGGATCCCGAAGTCTGAAGATCACAGAAGTATTTTGGATGTGTTTGAGGGCGGGGAACCGGTGGATCCAGGCAAACCATCGGTGCTTGGGCGTAGATCATATATCGATGACATCCTGATCCCCGCCAATAACTGGGATCAACTATGTGACCGAGTCGAGGGTTTGCTCGAAGCATGTGATAAGTGGAATCTGTCGATCAGTGTGGTTAAAAGTTTCTGGGTAACGCCCAAGGTAGAATATCTGGGTCATAAGGTCTCGCACAAGGGACTGGAGGCAAACCCGAAGGATCTGTCGGCACTAACTGATCTAGCTTTTCCAGGTTCACTCAGGGCGATGCAGTCATTTTTTGGGAAATCTGAACTATTACAGCCGGTTCATTGAAGACTATGCGATTTACGACAGTACTGTATGGATCCGACACGATCGGGAGCCAGGCTTCATGTCTGATTTCTTTAAGTCGTTCAACAAGATCCTGAGACAACGCCAACGGGCTTCTATGGCGTATAGACACTAAGCTAATGGATCTGCAGAACGTATGGTTCAGACAACCACCAGGGCTCTTAAGATGTATGTGGAAGATCTAGATCAACGAGATTGGGACGAGTATGCTGAACGACTCACCTTCGCGATCAATACGCATAACGATCTAGCACAACCTCATCCTGTAGAGTCTGGATCAAGGGTCTGGCTATACCTAGATTGAGTACGTGAAGGTTATGCGAAAAAGCTGGCGCACTGATGGCATGGTCCATTCCGCGTTGCCGAGAAGATCGGAGAATACGCCATGAGGTTGGAGGTAGCAGGATCCACATACGGCATTTTCCCGGTGGTGCATGTGTCGAAGATCAAACTGGCCAAGGTATTCCCAGATCGACCAGTAGCTCGTCTGAACGGGTCAGAAGGAGATCGGGTGGATTTTGATGAGGCTCTCCTACCTGAAGACAGCTGGATTCAAGATCAGGATTCAGATGAATACGAAGTGGAGCGAATTTCGGATATGAGGACTGGCAAGAGAACGAGGTATGGCCGGATCTACCGAGAATTTCTGGTACATTGCCGTGGATATGAAGATCCAACCTGGGTAGATGAGGCAGACCTCAATTGCGATGCTCTTCTCTATGAGTTCTTGCGAGATCGCGCTAATCGCAACCGTTTCGGTGTGATGCAATCTCAGGAAGAACCGTGAGATCTGGATCCACACTGGTGAGTTGGTCACTAGTGTGGCTGAAAGTTGATGGATCTGCAAGAAGGTTGCAGGTCGGAGGACAGGGGTTATGTGACTTTGTATAAGATGATATGTTGACAGAGGATCGAAGTGGAGCGAGATTGATTTTGAGACTGACATGGAGTGAAAGAGGTTGAATTTCGATTGTGGATCTAGAACGGTATTACTTGAGAGATTATGGATCAAAGGGCGAATGACAAGCATGAAGGGTATCGGTGAACACAGATCCGAAAAGAAATGACATGTATTACGCTTAAGCGTAGATGATCTGAAGAGAACGTAGAGAGAAATGTCAGGATCATGGCTGAGGAGCAAGAGGTGGCGCGTTGGGGTTCAGGGCCGCCATGTTGAAGAATTTACCGGTGAGACGGGCGATCCGGCGAGCGGGGTGGCCCGCATGATGCGGTCGGTAATGGGTACGCCACGGATCCGCGGCGTCGCACTCAGCGGGAGCCTCGATCAGGTCGGCAGGCTCACGACGATTCAGCTTCGGATCTGCAATGTTAGCACTGCGAGCCTCGATCCCGGGATACCAAGC